TTTTCCTGACACTTTTTTGTATTTGCCCTTGGTGGCCTTTATATACCTGCCCTAGCTTTCCTGTAGGATGCTTTGCAGGGGTGGAGGTCAAATTTTTCAGTTTCAACGAATGAGTTAAGCTCATAACTTTCTATCTCTTGATTAAATCAACCCACTAACCTGTGAATAATGGACAACGAGGGACTCAATGGGTCTTACATCTGAGAAGACATATATAGGGTTACGCCATGAGGCTGCAGTCTCAGGCATGTTTACTTGGGGGTGAACCCCACTGAAATCAGTGGGACTTGTTTCTCAGTGAACATGCTTAGGATCACACTGTAAAAAGGCCTTAATTTGAGCTGGGTTCTTTGTACCCCACACTTAAAATATCCAGTGTGCTTTCTGTTCTTGATTCAGTGCAATCCACTTGTCTTTCAACGTTCCACGTGACTTTCCCTTAATATGCGAGTTCAGGGCACAAAAAATGAAACAAGAAGCAAGCACACTCCTAAAAGTTGCATCCGTTGGTCTTCTTCTCTCTTCAGTGCATATTATCGTTCTTCAGAAGCTAATTCAACCTTTTGAAAGCAACTTTTCTATGTATTAGTGAAAGTGGTATTTGACAGTTGCATTGTGGTTTGCCGTTGTGTTGCAATGCATATTGTGTAACGTTATGTAACAAATTAACAGAAAGTTCTTGGCCTAGGAGGCAGTATTACTAAATACATATCCAGTAAAAGTGTGTCATAAATCAATTGGTCTTGAAACTGACAAAAAGGCAAGGATTTTTTTCTTTTCTTGTATTCTTCAGCTGTTGGAGGATCATGAAGGGTTTTCAAGTTCCTAGACCACTTGACTTTTAATAGAAAAATGTCAAATTTACAAGTTTAACAGTGCCATCTTCATAGATGTCTTCTTAGAAGTAGGTCCCACAGATTGAAAGGTACTCCCAGTCTGTATTCTCTTTTTTTAAAAAAATAATATTTATTAAAGTTTCAAAAAGTACATGAATATACAGAATAAAGAAAAAAGTATAAAGTTTTTAAGATACAACAAAAAAGAAAAAAAAATAAAGAGAAACATACAAAATAGAACAGTTAAAAACACATTAATTTTCCATGGCCTATCTTCCTTACACTTATTTCCCCGAACCTCCTCATATCTCCCTTCTTTGTATTCCAGTTCAGTTTGTTAGTTCAGCAAATCCTTACCATTAAACTTTTACCCAATTGTTAACCTTTTTTTTCATATCTCTTAAAGCATTACAGCTAAAAACCTCTTAGTTTCTATCCAACATCCTTCTAAAATTCCTTAATTTTGCAATATTTCTGTAAATAGTCTTTAAATTTCTTCCAATCTTCTTTCACCGACTCTTCTCCCTGGTCTCGGATTCTGCCAGTCATTTCCGCCAATTCCATGTAGTCAATCACCTTCATCTGCCATTCTTCCAAAGTGGGTAGATCTTGTGTCTTCCAATACTTTGCAATGAGTATTCTTGCTGCTGTTGTGGCGTACATAAAAAGTTCTGTCCTTCTTTGGCACCAGTTGGCCGACAATGCCCAAAAGAAAGGCCTCTGGTTTCTTCAGAAAGGTATATTTAAATACCTTTTTCAGTTCATTATATATCATTTCCCAGAAAGCCTTGATCTTTGGGCACGTCCACCAAAGGTGAAAGAATGTACCTTCAGTTTCTTTACATTTCCAACATTTATTATCGGGCAAATGATAAATTTTTGCAAGCTTGACTGGGGTCATGTACCACCTGTATATCATTTTCATAATATTCTCTCTTAAGGCATTACATGCCATAAACTTCATACCTGTGGTCCATAACTGTTCCCAGTCAGCAAACATAATATTATGTCCAACATCTTGTGCCCATTTAATCATAGCAGATTTCACCGTTTCATCCTGAGTATTCCATTTCAACAGCAAGTTATACATTCTTGACAAATTTTTAGTTTTGGGTTCTAACAATTCTGTTTCTAATTTTGACTTTTCCACCTGGAAGCCTATTTTCTTATCCAAATTATATGCCTCCATTATCTGATAGTAATGAAGCCAATCTCTCACTTTATTTTTTAGTTTTTCAAAACTCTGCAATCTCAATGTATCTCCTTCTTGCTCCAAAATTTCCCAATATATCGGCCATTTTGCCTTCCCAGTCTGTATTCTCAAGTACGGATAATTCTTTAAATAATATTTTATGTTTTAGCTATTATTATTTAACTCCAATTAACATTAAACTAATTGTTAACTGCTTTAATCTTCCCTACAAAAATAATAATGAAATATGCACTATTGTTGGCTAACTCTTGTTTTGCTTTGTATTTATGTACTTAAACATTAATTTGGCACGGGGTTTTTGTTTGTTTTGGTAATGCTGATTTATTCTGCATTTGTTGAATTGTTGATTTTTGTCATTTGAATTTACTAACATGTTCTGTATTTTTGTATGTTTGTATTTTCAATGTTTTGATGTTTTTGAATGTTTGCTGTGAGCTGCTTTGGGCAAAGCTCATTGTGGAAAAGCAGCATATAAATGAACTGAACCAATCAATATGCCACAAGTAGTTTAAATGTTTTCTTTTCATTGTGGGTTTTTTTTTAAAAAAATGGGACCAATGTAACAGTTTTACAACCTCAATAATTCATCTGTAACTTTGATCACCTCCCCCCCAAAAAATGGATCAATAATTTGTTTTCCATCTGAGCTAATGTTTCATGGACGAGTCTCAAAATTATGGTAATGTTTACTGGAAACTGTGGGAAATAGGCTCTCTGGTAAATGACCTGGAATCAATGTATCATGACCAATATAACATGTGACAATTCACTGATAGACATCCACAAATAAATAGCTCCAAAGCTAAACCCTCTTGCATTCACAAGTTGCCAGTCAGCATCAAGTCCATGAGGGAAGTTGTAATTCCCAAAGGAATTTATATTTAGCTGCAGGCAACACTCAAATGATTTGCTTCTTTCCAACCAAACATTTGTCATTTTCAGGAAGGCAAATGCCAAAAAAAGTTCCTCTTTTTGAAGATGACGTCATGTTAATGAATATAATATTGCATCACCCAGTCCACTTTTTTAAAATTTCCCAGTCTTAAACCCCAAAATAACGAAGTTGCCAACTGACACTAGTAGTTCACTGGTTGTTTCTGCTTCTGCACTTTCATTCAACATAATCACATTTCTCCTAGGGACATTATTCCCCATGGTTGTAGCATTTATCTTAAATTATGTTGAAATTTATGCTTTGCGTTCAAGACTGCCTTCAACATTTCACAGGCAAGAGTCCTTCAGTTCCTGAGGTGAAATTTCGAGATCAGGGGTCAGGAAACTCCAGAACATGGCCCAGTCTTGGCCTGACAGGCTTACATTATAGGGCCATGAGGCCATTTTGAGCAAACCATAGCCACCCAACCTGCAACTGATGTCATACAGGTGTGTGACCAAAAGAGTGGAGCTTGTCCAGCTTCCGAAGTGCCAAGTGCATGACAACCAGCTGGTTGTCAGAGATTTTGAAACACTGCCCAAAGTGGGAAAAGCAGTTTAAAAGCCAACATGAAGTCCTCTGGCCACAATTTTACCTCACTTTTTTCTCTAGACACCCAAAACATTGTAACCTTTCCTCATAGGGGAACTCCTCCAACTTGTTAATTTCACTTGCAGCTTTGACATTTTTAATTTCCCATTATGTGTTGTAAGCCATTTTTAAAGATCTTTGAAAGAAAGGCATGGTGTCCATGTTTTAATAAAATGGAACCCGCTCGAACACCCATCTGACAGCCCCACAGAATCATCTCACCTGCAGTTAACCAAAGATTGTGATGCAACTGTATTTTCTGAAAGCCCAGACTCATTCTTGGTGCGGATATGTACTTCAGGAAATCACTAGGGTATAGATAAGCTCAGTTGCGAATGCCATCAAAAGACTGGCATCTGTAGCATAGGTTCATATGAAAGAGCCTTCAATAATGTCCACCACAACTAGCTTGCACAGATAAACAGCAGTCATATGAAAATGCTAGGTTGTTAGATCTTCCAGCAACCTGTGTTCATTAGAGCCTTCTGAGTGGACATCTTACTTTCTGACTGAACTGTTTGCTAGTACAGTGGTACCTCGGTTTTCGAATGTAATCACTTCCAGTAGACCGTTAAGACTTCTGAAACATTCGAAAACGAGGCGCAAAGGACCGTCTGCAAATTCAATAGAGAAAATTGGGGGGGGGGGGGACTCAATGAAAGCCATTTGACTTCCAAGGTGCGTTCAAAAACGGAAGCATTTAATTCCAGGTTTTCGGCATTTGAAAACCAAAATGTTCGACTTCCGAGACGTTCGAAAACCGAGGTACCACTGTATATAGGAATATTTGGATATCTTAAGAGCACAAGTAGGGAGCATTGAAAGCATACAGTGGTACCTCGGGTTAAGAACTTAATTCGTTCTGGAGGTCCGTTCTTAACCTGAAACTGTTCTTAACCTGAAACTGTTCTTAACCACTTTAGCTAATGGGGCCTCCCACTGCTGCCGCGCCGCCACAGCACGATTTCTGTTCTCATCCTGAAGCAAAGTTCTAAACCCGAGGTACTATTTCTGGGTTAGCAGAGTGTGTAACCTGAAGCGTATGTAACCCGAGGTACCACTGTATTGGTATTCTGCCCATAGATCAAAGAGGGCTGTTTTGTGGCCTTAGGTCACTACATAAGACAATTATTGCTCCCCTACGACAGCTGAGATCCTGGCCATTCACGTGCATTTTTCATTTAACCATTAATTAATTGGCTACTTGTTACCTCCCAACCTCACATATACTCTCAATTTTCCTTTGACTGGGCTACAGTGTATGGATTGTCCTGGCATGCCCAGAGTGTTGATTCTGTACATTGCTTTTTCTCACACTGCACTTTCACAGCTATACAAGCCCTTTCCCCCATTACCCCCTCCCCACAGCCGATTAGCAAAATCAGTTCAAAAACACCAGCAGGAAAAAAAGATGCAAAAGAAGTTTGGGAAAATAAACCAAGTGAGAATTAAATTCTTTATTACAAAAAAAGCCATAGATGGTGGTTTTTTTAAAGATATATTTGTTATTTTTTTGTCTAAAAATAAATATTTCATATGGAATCTTGAGATTAGCCAGTGTGGCAAATGTATTCTTTTCTTGCCACATTACAGATAAACAGTAGCACCAATAAATAAAATGATAGTAAATTTTTCTATATTTCTGGGGCGCAGGAGCGGGTTACATATATAAAAATCGTAGTGTCTATTTATTCCGAATCACACATATACATAAACATATATATATATATATATATATATATACACACACACATACATATAACCAAATATATATATAATATGTAGATGTATAACCCTTGCCTCAAAAGGAATGTGTAGGGGGAGGGTGTTAAGAGATATTAATTAAATAACTGATCATGCTACTGACTCTGTCAACAACTGGGGAGAGATTGGATGGAGCAGAAGAGTTAAAAATTTATACATAACAGTACAAAAAAAGAGGTACGGCTTATAAATAGTAAAATTAAATATTAACAAAGAATACTGAAAAATACCTAGTTTAAATTATTATTTTTAATTTCTAATTTTTAAAAAGGGATATTAAACAAGTATATAGAACAATGTTTGTCACCTTGCACAGCATGAATATATACATTTCAGCTGTGTGCGTGTGTGTGCACGCACAAGCACACACACACCCCTGCACGCACGCACACACACACACTCACCACACTTGCTATTGGGTAGAAGGGAATTTCATAGTGGTTAATCATCAAACTTGCAACAAGTTGATTTTTTGCTTGTCTGGAAACAGACAGGCATTTGGCAGCATTCTCACACAGACCAAATGTAACTTGATTTTTTAAAAACCCAAACTTCTGAAACTGAGCACCAGGCGTACACCCCACTCCAGTGAAGGCAATTGGAAGCAAGCTTCCATACACACACACACGGTGGGCACATGGTTCTAGACCTCTGCATTCACAGCCACCCACCACTAAATTAGGAAACAGGTCTGCAACGCGAAATGGATGGCCAGCGCTAAGTGCTGGATCTCTTTGGGGGGGTGGAGAATCCAGAACCTACAGCTACCCCAATGCAAGGGAAGAAGTTTGGATTCATTCCGCCCACTCACCGAGCCAATCAGAGCTGGCCTTACTACCTTTTGAGCAGCCAGGCAGCCACAGGTCCATGCATGCAGCATCACTCAGGTGCGCGCGCACACACATACACACTGAACGCCAACATATTTTACATAAATTAAATAGGAATAGGTTTTCAAAGGCAACAATGCTGCTTCAAATCTCAAAGAGTCTGCACCACATGCACCTGTTTAGAAGGCAGCAGAAGCCGCCCACAATGTCACAGGTGCTGGGGTCAATCCAACTGGGGGAGGGGGGCAAACGGAAGCACTGCCCTTCCAGGATCAAACCAAGTGTAGGAGCACCAGTTCCACTCACCCACCAAGTAAATTTTATCTAGAACTAATGAGTGAGGGGGGAAAGGCTACCAGTGGATTGTATCCACGTTGCGCTTGCCAAGTCATCAATATGGCCCTATTACCATCAGCACTCATTTGCTGGCTACGGCCAGGGTGCATTTGGGCAAGTCAACAAACTTCAGATATTTAAAGTACATTGCTGCCAGCTCCTTTCCAGATCAGAATGTTTACTTAATACCTAGTGGTTTGGTGTGCTTTGGTGTTTATAGTGTTTTATCTTGCAAGGCACTGAGCATTATAGCCTGATCTCACAAGAGCACTTAGGCATCCATTACTCAAAATTTGTGCATTATATCTAGGTGACTAGCCCAAGCTTCTGTGTTGTAATGCAGTCCCCATACCAGTGTTACAATGGAACTCTTGCCAGTTTTAAGAGTTGCAAAGCTTTTTTCTACTTTCCCAAGGGTTGTGCACACATGGTCCCGCAAATCGCAGGCAATGCACGTTTATAGTGGCTGTTGACTGGGCCTGATTTTACAAACACACACACACACACACACACACACACACACACCTTTAATTCAACAGCCTTCCCCAACCTAGCTGAGTTAGTTGTAATCCCAAAAAAACTTAGTTGTAGTAAAAACAACAGTAACCAGTGGAAAGCACCAGGTTGGGAAAGCTGTGCTAAAGGGAGTTAAACGATACTGCCAACATCTAGAGAGCCTGAATATATTAGCCACTCTAGGGTGCTACCAACTTTAATCAGGTTCCACATAAGAATGTTCCGAACCTTGTAGTGCAGAAGCATGGTGAATGGGGTCAATTTGAGGCTATCTTTGTCACATCAAGCCAAGTCAGACAAGTATTTTCTTAACAATTCAACACTGAAAATTCAAGATTCTACATGGCACATTGCTCAAGGTTATTGGGGGAGGGGGAAGGAAAATTTAAGATGGGCACCCCCAAAGTCCAGATGAGAGTTTACTTCAGGCAAATAAACTCATTATGAATTATCCAACGTTTGGTGGCGAATGCTTCATAAGTCTCTTGTTAAATAAGTTTCTGTTGCAACGGAACACGTTTTCAAATAAACAAGACCGTGTATTGGTAGGATAGGCAACATTATGCCACCAGCATGATGGTGGAAAGAAATAAAGTTACAAAACTCCAGCATAGCACAAGATGTCTTGGCACATTCATGTTACAACAGATTGAGAATATTAATGAATTCACAAAACGAGAAGTAATCTCTCATCGGATACTGCCCAGCAGGCTGTAAATGCCACTTTCCAATTTTGAACCTGTATATTTGTGTGCATATACTCCCCACACAGACACACACTCAACCCCCGCCCCAATCTATTGTACATATATACTTCAGATTAATATCCCTTTCCAGAGATGTTCCATAAGCATCTTCAATGGCAGCTCTGTGCATAAGGATGGCAGACAGCACTGCTCAACTGCCTGGCTATATATTCTTGCTTCCATGTACTGCCAAGCCCCTATATCCTTGATTTAAGTAGCAAAGAGAGGTTGCAAGATTGTAGATCCCAGCAACGCCTGCTCAAGTTGACAAGCACCAGCCACTGACAAGCACCGTTAAGGCCAGAACATAGATCCAGGGCAAAGTTCCTGCAGTAAAGTCAATTCGATAACATACACCAGTGTCCCATCAAAACAGGCAGGTTGCAAGACAAGTTGGGGCAGATCGTTTTGGAGAGGAGGGAGAGGGAAGTTGACCGAATCCTCAGACCTAGTGGCTAGAGTCACTTCCTTGACCTTTTGACCCATAATATTCCAAGGCCCCATCTTTGGAATCCCCTGCCACCTCCTCTCTGGTGCCAATGTCTCTCCATACAAGACAGGGCCTGGGGAATTGAGCTTGGTGGAGCAGCATGCTTAACAGAGTCGGCAAGAGTATGAAGATTACACTGAGCGCTTTTGGCTGAAGTCCAGTCATCGTTTCTTTCTTACGCCCCAAGTAGCCCACTTGTGTCCACAGCAGTTGAATATATCCAGTGAAGACACCAATAATGTTAGCAATGTTTTTTTTCTCTCTTAAAACTCAGAATATATATGTATATCTATATTTACAAACATATATATTTTTATTCATGTGAAACGGGAGTCCCAAAACATACCACTCCAGTCTCCCTGGCTCTATTATTTAGCAGCATGAGAAGGAAAGTCTCTATAGAAAACCAGTTCAAAACCAAAAGGTGAATCTTGTGAGGGTCCTCGGGGAATGTTCCTTCCGGAGTCCATCGTCCGTACTCAAAAGTGCTGTGCTCTACTGATCCTTCATTTTAGTGTTCATTTGGATTAGTGTTTTTTTGACCAGGCGAGATATCAGGCTCCAGAAACCAAGGCTCTCTTCCCCCACTTCTTTTCTTCTCTGCTGCTCACCGTCTCGGTTTTTCACATCTGTTAAAGAGAGTGGGGGGGGAGAAGAGGTTATGGTTAACTGAAGTAACTTAGGTGTGGGATTCTCTGAGGTGATTAAGGCAGTGGTAGGGGAAGAGGAGAACTACAGAGCTACTAAAAGAACAGCCAGTCCCATTGTTTCCCCACATAAATCCATACAAAGCAGGTGAGGTGGGTGACTTGAGATTTGTCTTAAAGAGCAATTTTAAAAAAACAACACCACTGCGTTTCCATGTGATCCCTGCTCCCAAATAATGACAGAAAATTACTTTCTTCTCCAAACTGTCATACCTCCTTGCACGTCGCAACTCACACACATACAAATTATCCCCTCCCAATCTAGATTGTTTTTTGTTTTGTTTTTTTTATGTGGAGGTGCAGCCAAACAAAGCCATGAGTGTCTCACGCAGGCAAAAGGGAAACCAAAAATATATATTGTTTGTCATTCCACTCTTTGCCAAGAGACAGTGGTTAGTGCCTGAACACAGCAGCAACAGTTTGTGGCAGAAGCAGGAAGAAGATGAATTCGCTGTGCCCTTTTAAGGTCCAGATTTCATAACTCACTAGGAATGAAAGTTCATCTGAAGCAGCTTTCCACACTCACACAGATATGAGGTTGCCAGCCCCAATGAGTACAGCCTCTCCTCCCACCCGATGCACTGACAAGACACTCTGAAAATCAGCATTTCACCTTGGCACAGGGGAGAACCTAACCATGGGGTGAATAATTTCCAAATCCTAGAGCATTTTTCCTCCTCCTTTGAGAAACCTTCTGAGCCTTAAGCTTCTAGCAAGGATGGTTTTCCAAAGCTGCTCTTTGGAAAGTTTGAGGAAAAACTATAAAGGTCAAGGGCAAGAAGATGCCTGGTTTCTCTCCAGGGACTACTTCTGCAGGGTGAACTGTAACCCAAGAAGAGCTGGCTCCCTTCTTTCTGCAGCAAAAGGCATCCACACTCAGGTTACAACCCCTCACAAAATTCCCCTGCATAGAGAGCAGTGTGTCTCAAACTCCTCCACCAACAGAGAATGGAGCTTCCTGGCCAATCATATCAAAAAGCCCAACGGTATCCAGCTCAATATCTGCAAGCACACATGGTCGACTGCAGATACAGTAGGTCAGTCTTCACCAATCTAGTGTCTTCCAGATGTTTCTGACTACAGCTGCAACTCTACAGAGTCCCAGCAAGTCCAAAGCATCTGCAGGGCACCAAATGGACAAAGCTACTGTAGAACCACATATGCTATTCTCAGAGAACTAAATGGACTCCTGCCCTTCTAGCCTTGGCTGCAGGGGAACCTTTCTATCGAGGCAGAAATGCTCATTTCCCAAACGTAAAAACAGGATGTATGAAACCTCTTGGTGGCAGGAAGCTCTGGGATCTTTGTGAAGGGTTGGGTGGTATTTGTGGTTACAAAGTGGATACAGAGATGATGACATCTTGTATGCACTCAGTCAGATTTGAGGTGGTGCATATCATTGGCTTGTGGCATTGCTTCTCTGTCTATTCTAGTCCACACAAGTCACTCTTCCAATTACACCACAGATGGAAGGACTCAGTCCTAAGGTGGACTACCGCTGCAAGCCTTAATAAAGATTTTAAAGAGCTTGTCTACTTACACTTCAGTTCTCCTTACAGCCCTGTGTCTGGAGCAAAAGGGACTTCTGTTATGATCCAATAGCCTATATCCTATTATACAAGCACTTGCATCAAAGGCACTGAGCCCTTTCCCCCGGTTTCCAGCAGCATGAAATGAGCCATCTTGCTAGCCAAGGAGCACGTTCTATCTTAACACTGCCCTGTCTTGTCGTCATTCCAGCCCAGCCCTACCATAACACAGGAAGCTTGTGACATGAGACTCATAAAAGCCCTGTCCTTTTCCCTATCCATGTCAAGCAGGGGAAAGGAGGGATCATAGAACATTGGCAACAGAAGCCAGCAGGAAGCAAACTTTCTCTCTCTTGCTCTTTCTCAACTTGAGAGTGTTTGTGTGTTTGTGTGAGCTGCACGTGTGTGTGTGTGTGTGTGTGTGTGTGTGTGTGTGTGCCCATATGTTTGTGGGTATTTTCTCTCTCTTTCATTCTTCAGGACACAAACCTGCAAGTGCGCTCGTTTAACTCAAGCTGCCTCGACTTGCAACGTGAGTCTGTGAATTTGCAGGAACATTTACAGGTCTGGGGATCTTGTTTGAACAAGTGCTTTCTCCTTTCTGAGCAAGGTTCACAGTGACTGCAAAAAGGCAAAAGGAAAGAGGTCTAAGCTACAGCGCTTTAGCGGGAAGAAATTTACACATGCAACACCCTAAACATTGAAGCAACCCCTGCCCCCAACCCCCACTCGCTCAGCACTGCTCATTCAGAACACTGCTGGCTGGCAGACAGTCCCAAAGGCGTTCCAACACTTACTTGCGACAGCTTAAAGAGAAAGAAACCGGCTCTCTGCAGCTGCACAATTCACAAATCCTGCATTAGTCCAACTGGCCAAGGTAAAAATGGCGAGAGCCTCCTCATGTTAACAGAGGTCCCCAAAACAAGAGTGAAAACATGTTAAATACCCAGTGGCAGCTCCTCCTACAAAGAAAGTCTTGCTAATGTCAACTGGGGCAACAGCTATACCAAAAGGTGGAGAGGAGAGGAGACAGTCTCCTAGATTCAGCTGCTTTGTGCTTGGGGGCCTTAATAATAATAATTTTCCCCTTAGGGATTGAATCAAAATAGCAACTTTTCAAATCCATTTCCTGCTCCAGAACTGCCACCAGATTATTAGCAATGCAGGATTCTGTGAATTGAAGAGAGAGAGAGAGTAAAAGAGGAGCCACCAATATCCAGAAGAGAGAGAGAGAGAGAGAGAGAGAGAGAGAGAGAGAGAGAGAGAGCGCTCCTCATATGTTTCCCAGAGTCCTCTAGCTCTTCACTGGTTAGTGTTACCATCAGATCACACACACAGACATAAACATGCATGAATGGCAAGCACCAAGCCCTTGTTGCCAGCCTCATTAACAATGACAGCCTTAAAGGGAAAGCTGAAATTAAGGGAAGCAAGGAGATGGGAAATCACACAGGGGGAACTGCAGGGTGCAGCAACAGTGAAGCAAATAAGCCTGCCTGTCCCTTCATGTTGTTGTGCCTTCGGAAGAGAAAGAGTAATCCCAAGCAAGAAGAAGAATCGCTCCTCCTTTTATGCCTCTGGATCAGACGTGCCAAAGCTGCCAAATGCTACCACCACCAGTGAGGCCACCCCAGCTCTCCACGAAGGAGTGATTTGGAGAAGTGGGTGGGGAATTGTCTCTTTGTTGTAATTAGGTGTATTGCAAGCAAGTGTTTTGATTTGAGGGGTGATGGGAAGAAATGGGGAACGGGCAGAGTCTACAAGCACATGATGCAAACGTACAAGTTTTGTGGTTTATACCGGCCTCTCTTGCGCTTTCTCTTTTGACCCTTCCCCTTTCCTCGCTTTGATTTTCTGGAAGAAAAACAAAACAAAAAAAAAGCAGAAAGAAAGAAAAGAGAAGGAAGGAGGAAGAGAAGAAGCTGGAAGGAAAACAGGGAGGGAGGACAGGAAATGGGGAAGGAACTGCCCTGTGGGCTTGGGCGAACAGGAAGACCAGGAAGAAGAGAAGGCTGGAAAGCCTTTGGCTCAAGGTTTCTTTTTTGCCACCTCTTACTTTAGCCTCCTTCACACCACCAGCACAACCCCTGTCAGGGCTACAGAGCTGAACCATGGCAGACCCAACAATGTCTCAGCATGCAACCCTGCCACTGGCCCAAGAGATGGGAGGAGCTACTTCTCCCCACTTGGAGGAGGGGTTTGCTGAAAGAGGCCTGGAAGCTGCCTGTGCCCAAACGAAATGCATTGTTCACCATCAGCTGGTAAGAGACAGTGCAGGCAGGCATCCTTGATAAAGCATTTGCGCCTTGCCCAGCATATGTCTGGATTATTCTGACACACAGAACTTCTGACCTCAGAAATCCAGTTTGAAGAACTCCAGTAAAATTATAAGGGTGGAATTCAAAGTAGCACTAAGGAGATCATCCATCTTTGCCCCTGTTCTGTGGGTTGATTTGGGGGGGCACAGAAGAAAGGAAGCCCCATTGCACTAGCTGGACTTCTTGTGTTGGCTCCCACTAGCACAACTATTTAGTTGAACTCAGCCCTAAGTGGTGCTCAAAAGTAGGCAGGCAGCAAATGGAACTGCTGGCTAAAACCCCAACCTCAGTCCCTTTGGCCTTACTCTGTAGACCATGAACTCTGGGTCCATTTGAACCAAGCATGCTGTTCCACAGCTATGAGTGTCTTGTTGCAACTGACAGCAAAGCAGCCAGTTCTGCTATCCCTTTGCTGCTGGGGTCACAAAGACTGAAGCAATAACTGATGCTGGCAGGTGAACAACGATGCAAGAAGAGGAGTCCTAACCCAAAGAAGCGGCTGCTGAACTTCTCTTGCCTCTCAAGCGCTGCTGGGAACAAAGACCTGCCAAACAGCCTATTTCTAAATGATGTGATGGTAAAGTAAAGTCTCAATCTAGCTAGCGCTCTTTGGGTTATGGCACAGTCCTGCCAGAGAATTTGGAGCCACCTTCCTGTAGCAAAGATAAGACTGATAACCTGCTAATATGGGAACTCAAGTCTTATTCCAATATGGGAAGCTGCCTTAGAGCAAGCCAGACCACTCAGTATTTATTATGCTGACTAGCAATGGCTCTCCAGGGTTTGAGGCAGTCATGTTTCCCAACCCTACCTGGAGATGCCCAAGACTGAACTTCAAACCCTTTGGGTACAAAGCTTATGCTTCACTGCTGAGTTACAGCCCTTCCAAATGTATGTTGATAATGTGAATTGATCGAGATCGGCAGGAATGCTCAGCTCCAACCCCATGACCCAGGTGGATGTCTGGGGAACCCTGATTCCCTGTGTTAGCAGCAGATCAAGGGAGAGGTGCACACAGAAAGAAGCAAGAGCATTTTGAGAGGGTTCCTACGTCTCGCTCCCAAGTTCTACCTCCTTCCCTCCCACAGGCAAGTCCACATCAATGGGATGGGAAGAAGAGGCGGGCTGTGGGGGTAACTGGCTGCATCTTTCCCGGGACTTGTTCAAGCCTGTTGGTTGGCACCAGTTTCTCTTTTCCTTACTACAGGCAGAGTAAGCACCCCCAGATCGCAGCTAGAGCTACAAACAAGACAGAGGGAGTGGTGCCTGCTTGAGGAAAACCTTTCCACAATGCTTGACTTCGTGAAGGACACATTCCCCAGGAGGAAAGCAAAACCAACAGCATCAAGCGCAAGAGGAATTTCAGCTTAACTCAAAGCAGAGTGCCCCATGTTCTGCGAAATTTGCAAAGTGAAGCAAGCCACCTGAAGTTCAGCCAAAGGTGAGGAGTGGAAGTTTCAGCAGAAGGTGAGAGGACTTCGGCTACACGAGCATTTTCTCTCCATCGCAGCAGCACACCCTGATCTCTTTCAGCCACTCCATTGAACAAGATATTCCAGAAAGAACAAGCCAAGCTGAAAGTGCTTAGCTGGGCTCTCCCCTCTTGATGGTTCCGTGAAACGAATCCCCAGGAGAAGGTTAGAACATGGTAATGGCAACATAGCTGGCCATTAAGAGTCTCTTTCTTCCTTTCTCCTTTCTCTCTCTGTTTCTGCCTAGCTGCCATACCAAATCAGAGACTGTCCACTGTCCTACTCATGCCCTCACAATGCATGTGTGTTTATTTATTTTTTAAACCAGGAGTGGGAGGAGAAAACATTACTTTTGCCCTTGTTCGGTATGGTCTGGGAGATGGGTAGAGAGGGATTTTTTCCCCCAATCAACACTGCCGCATTAGTCCACACAAAGCTGAAAGCAGATCACCGTTCACATGATAACATCAGCTAGTCCCTTTCCCACAAGGCAGCCCATCCAATGTCAAGAAGGTTCACATGTCAAGAAGGTTCATTTTATTTTATTCTACCCATTGTGATCAATATGCAAAGTTCATTCACATGTATGTCACCTCACCGCCCATACCCTGAACAGGCTTCTACTTTCAGCTTTTCCCCCTATAGCTGGCAGAACTCCCCTTCTCTGAGAGAGACAGCAAAGCTCACATGCATAGCCTTGGTGTTAGGAATCTATGCAAGCGGCTATGAATAAGTCAGCAAGTTTTCACCCAAGCAGCAAGAGAGAGGCAATGATTTCCAGTGTCCACAACAACAACTGCTCATGGAAGGAAACTTTAACCTAGAATCCATTCCCAAAGGGAAGGAGGGAGGGGGAGATTCTGTTGCTTCATTGTTGTTCTTTACCAATTTTGTCCTTGCTATTCTTTATGAATTTCTATGAGTAAGCCGTTTCAGTATGTTATCAGGCAGGAAAGAAGCAACAGTCATCAAAGCTAGGTGTGTATGTGTTATCTGCCTACAAAGAATGGATTCAGGGTGCAGCCCTTATGATGGCAATTTTGTTTGTTTGTTAAATCAGTTATTGTTTCCCATGATTGGAAGGAAAGGAGGGAGGGAGGGAGGGAAATTACCAACACCAAAAGAGAAAAAGAACTTAAGCCAAGTTACTTACTTTTCTTGTCTAGGTTTCACTTCTTTCTTTGGTCTCTCTCTGTGTGGAAAGACAAGGGAAGAGATATCAGGAGGGAACCAAGAATATATATACAGGTATCACACCCACCCTTTCGCCATGTTAAACCCCCTCTCCCCAAAAAAATGATTACAAGGGTGCCCTTTCTATCTTTCAGCATTTTGCTTGTGTTATATGTTGTGCGCGAATTTGTTTTTATTCACACTTCTGTAAGGCATCCTGGAATCTCTCAATCAAGGGCCATTAACAAACATTTTAAATAAATTATTGCAGCCAGATGCAAAATAATTCCTGGCCATGATGCTAAGATGTTTCACAGCTAGCTATTGGCATCTAATGGAGTCTCATGCTGTGTGCAGGTATTTTGCCTGAACATGTGATGCTCAAAAGCAAGAGATGGAGGCTCCTTCCCCCCCAGCTTCCCTTTAGATTGGGAGTGGGGGGCCACTTTCTACCCAAGGGCCTGATCCTAACCTGGCTAGCCTTCTTCCGGGGGCTGCAATACAACAGTGGGCAGGAGCAGAGGCAGAAGGGGGTAGGGCTGGTTTCAAAACATATCTTACATACTTTTATATACTGTTGTATATAAAATATTTCAAAAATATGTAAAAATGAATGCAAAATATGTAAAATGCTAAGCCCAGCCCTAGGAAGACTGTGAAAATGGCGAGGAAGGTCAACATAATTGTCAAATGCCATCACATGGCTGGGGTTTGCTAGAAATGACTATTCAGAGGGGCCTGGCAGGCCTCCTTAGGCCCGTGCTTCAGAGGTCACAGAGAGTTCCTTCTGAACTTAATGGAAGCTTCTAAAGAGGGTTTCGCAAGTGTGCTCCACTGAACACACTTAGAAACCTCCCCACAAGTGGGAGACACAGCTTAGTAGGGTTCCTGGTTGTGGGAAGTTTCTAACCATGTTTGACTGAACGTACCTATAAACCCTTTCCAGGTGTTTACAACTAGTTGAGTGAAGATCTAAAGGGAAGCCCACGCGGCAAGAGAAGTTGGAGGTGGGAGTTTAACTAGGTGTCCCTGCCCCAACTTCGCGAGCACTATGCATTCACGGCTTCAGTCTGCATCATCCTGTGAACATACCTAATTGGTGGCGAACAACCTACAACTATTATATTAAGAACATAATACCTCTATTGAAATATTCTCCTTCAAGCAATCATCAAACAGAGGCCCCTCCATACTAAGGCTGTGGACCTTTTTTGTCTTTTCTTTTTTTAAGATGCAATTGTAAAGCAGTCAGTTCAATTTCAAGAAGGTATACACTCTCACCTGCATTCACATTCTCTGTGCTGCTGGAAGCTCATCCGGCTTAAGTGCTGGCCTTGAAAGTGTTTAATTCTCAGGATCTGAAATGAAAGGAGGGGAAAGAAAGAAGGTAGAGGCTGAGTCTCATTCACCAATCACAACCTTTCAAAACAAAGAGGCAAACAGCACTATGGCAAAACAAAATTAAGAGAGGCTGCAATCCTATACCCACCTAACCTGAGAGCAAGCCCCACTGAACTCAGTAGGACTTACTCCTGAATAGGCATGTATAGACTTGGTTTCTAAAGCTGTAAAGAAATATAAAACTGTGTAATTCCTGCTCCAGATGACCAGCACAAGAACCCTCAATCAGCAGTTTGTTAAAAGGGCAAGTCTATACATATTTTTTGATCATCTTCCTCTTACTTGAATTTTAGCTACCAAGCAACCTACTTGCCCACAAAAATGACATGCTTCTCCACAGGTGGGGCAAAGGACCATTTCTGGAGGCATATTGGTGCCTGGATTCAGGAAGACACAATGAAACATGACTTGAGCAAGGCAGCTACAGACTCAGGAGACTTTTGGCAGCCACAATGATTTCAAATGTCTGTAGAGCACACAGGATGATGAAATTTGAAGTGCAGGTTGCTACTGAGTGTGTGTGCATTTGCAATACTAAGGAAAGAGAGATGTGTGCAGGAGCAAACCACACATGCAGGGCTCATTCCATCAGCCAACTCTATCAGGCCTCTTCCCTTGCTTGTTAACTGGAAGCAGCCATTCCAGGAGTCTGCCTTAGCAGAAGAAACGGGAAGCAGGGCTCAATCCATCAGCTCTGCTGAATGGACCCCTCCTGCCCCTGAACTGTTTCCATTCCAGCTGGTCACTAAAATAACTATTCAACTTTTAAGAACTGGCATCTGAGTTTGCTTTTCCTCCTCTTCCCTCCCTTTTCCTTTTCTGTTAGATCTTTCAGATTTCACACCTGCAGGCAGGGACTGTCTTGTCTGAACTGCTTGAGACTTTTGGGTGAAGAGCAGGTGCTATAAATACTGAGGCTCCCTAGTCCTGCAGACACTAAACTGTGTCTCAAAGACAGGCTTGCTAGTGTGGTCTGTTTGGTGAACAGCAGGCTTGGGTGATAAACCCTTCAGCTTGGGGGCCTGTTCCTCTGCCTTGTGCAACAGGACACAAGGGTGGCACTGCCGAAATGATAACTGGCAGGAATGCAAGCTTAACTCCATACTTCACCAAGGTCATTAGTAGAACTGGTTTCCTTGGAATTGCCACTTGTGGTCTTGGGTCTGTATACCAAAAAACCACCACGGCATTTACGCCCTCTGTTTGGGTGAGGCCAGGTCTAGAATGGCAGGTTGACATCTGTAAATGGTAACTGGGGGGCATCAGCAGTCGTTTTCTTAGGCACGGATGCGGATCAGGATTAAAGACATTTTTGCAAAGCTGAGAGGAATAGACAGGAAGCAAGTTCTGGCAGAGGCGTATTGGCTGTGCTCTGTGTGGAAAGCGTGCATCCTCACAGTATGTTTTGGCCTTAGCTATTCTTTCCAACCATTTCCCTTCAGGATGACTAAATTCAAAGTAAAAGAGAGAGGAAGCTCTTCCATTTGTTTCTGCATTCTTGTTCTTCCTACCCCTGCAGTGCCTTTGCAACTAACAAGTCAGAACTCTAGCTTGGCCAGTGGACCCTGACCTGGCCAACTTTTGATGAAGAAAGTTCACAGCTCCTTTTGTATGCCACAGTCTGCTGCACTGGGAGATGGGGTTGGAAGATACAGAAGCCAAAACAAGAATTAAGCAGAAGCCAGAGTGAAGAGGGGCCAATGGACCTGAGGGGAGCCCTGTCTACACATAGATCCTCAGTTTGTAGCTAACGGGTTCCCTCCAGATGTTGCTGGACTCCAGCTCCCACCAGTCCCAGCCAGCGTGGTCGATGGTCAGCGATGGTGGGAGTTACAGGCCAAGAGGATCTCAAGGTGCAGAGGCTCCCCATTCCCAGCTTTTCTATGAGACTTAATGGGGACAAAAAACATCAAGCTCATCTAGTGCAAGGGGTAGTGTGTAAGCTAGATTGGAGTGGGCAACATATTCACTCAGGGAGTAGATGGATTCTCCCCATTCAAGCTGCTCAAAAAAAATCACGGACACTCCAGCTGGGCAGCCCAGTAGCTGAGTGAAGGGCAACAATTCACATGCTGCTTCTAGACCAGCTAGCTATTTCTCAAATTTGAAGGGCTACCTGATCTAAAGGCAGCACACGAAAAACTGATATTATTATTATTATTATTATTATTATTATTATTACTACTACTACTACTACTACTACTACTACTTATTGAATTTATTTGCTGCCCTATACCCGGAGGTCTTAGGGCAGTTCACATAAAAAGATCACAGTATATAAAATTAAAATAAAAGCAATAACCCAGTAATACCCCCCCAAAAGAGCCACATTTCTCACAGCTGCTTGGTACCCTTCCCTCGAGAGGAGAGGAGAGGTCTCTGTAATGCTATAGAAATCACTAGATCAGTTCCCTATTTTCTGATGCAAGAAGTCTCTTATGCTCCTTTTGACTTCACCAGCACTCCCTAGCAAGTAAAATCACTCAAGAAAGGAGTGCCACCCGGCAGGCAAAAAGCAGAGCAAAAATAAGAATTAAAAATCCTTCTACTCCAGTCCTTTGACAGCCGACAGCATCAGTAGACGGAGGAGGCTGATAGATGTGGTTCAAGAGCTACCAGCTGACCATTCCTGATTTAGATAAACCACCCGTGGTCCTGTGTGAGTTACACTGAGGGAAACGAGCAATGTCACCTCCCTCTTTGCTCTGTCCCCCACCTCCAGTTCCTTAGCTAGAGCCTCACCTCCATGGTGACATTGTACGTCGATGTGGGTACGCACTCCAATGCCTCGTCATTACAGCACCCTGCACACCTCATCAGGGGCACACAGGATGGCTTGAAAATGTATTCCACCTCGTCAGGGTATTCTTGGAAAATATCCACCATGGTCTCAATTGTCCTGCAGGCACTGCGCTCAAAGACCACCAGAAATGAGATAACTACAAAAAAACAAGAGGTGGGGGAGGGAGAGAAATTAGGAATTAAGAACATCTCTGTTTTGCACTGTGATCATTCGTAAGCTGTTTCAAGGCAATGTAGGAAACAGGGCTGTGGGTGTGTGGATTAATGGCTCTGCACTCGGTGCTCTTTCTGCCTAGATACCTTTCCCATTATCTCATGGGCTCACTGAAACATGCTGTCAATAAATGCATTAGTTCAGTTAAAAAGCACTTAAACCCAAGGAGATACAGAGTAGAACAGGGGTTGTAGAAAAGCAAGATAGGGCCAAATCACTGGCAGGTTCAGCATTTGCCCGTTTGAATTTTAATGAGCTAGATATTCTGAACGCATTTGCAAGGCAGAAACTAAAGCGAATCGTGAGCCTCAGAAATCAGAGCAGATCTCACAGAGGACCATGGCAGACCTTATTAGAGCAGCATTCCCCTGAAGCTAGTGGAAGTGGAATGAGGAGTTTGACGCATTCTGCTCAGAAACCAGTTTGCCAAACCCAGATAACTCAACCCAATAGCTCACCATATGAAAAACAAAAAAGCCACTACAAGTCCTAGACACTGTGAATTTCAGGGCCTCTCATAAAAATTGGCATTTTTCACAGAATAAAAGGCAGCTGTTGGGGAGAACCAGACATCATCTCCTAAGGAAGCACTTCTGCGGTGGGGATATTTTCCTGGCACTCATCACATAATGTTTCATCACAAGGAAAATGTGCTTTTTCCTTCAACTACAATATTAGGCTTATTGCGATTGGCATGGAATCTGGAACAGCAGCCATGCAAGTTCTAGAGTCACCTACTGGATACCTGTCCATCACTCAGGTAAGCCCTTAAGGCAAAGTAAAGGAAGGAATGACCTGCCACTTTTCAAGCCTTTCAGAAAATGTTCAGGTTACTTTTTTCAAAGCTGCGGTCTCACTCCTTCCTCATTTCAGCACTGGGGTGTTTGTGTCCCGGGATGTTCCTCCACCCCACCCCACCTGGCAAAGAGCAAAGAAGCTACCAGCACCCTCCAACAAGGCTGATTCCATACATTACAACGAGACAGGGTGTATATTGGTATGACATTAGCAAAATTAATATACTTTTCCTCCCACCCCCCTTCTTCCTATTGCTTGTGTTTCATGCTCTATACTTGGTGTGTTTGCAGGAAGGATCCTACCTGACTTCCACCATTGGAAAAAAGCCTTAGCCTGGGTCCAACCCATCATCACCATAAGGTTTAATAATGTATTTCATTATCCAGACCGGTTATTAGACTTGTGTCACCATTTTTTATGAATATAAAAGGATATGTTGCATTCCAACAGTACTGAAGACATGAACAGGGCCACAAATATGTAGCTAGTAGAACGGAAAAGGTGCAATGGGCTGAGGTGCACCCATTTCAGCTGCAGATTTCCCATGCTATACAAACATAGGCAGCTGCCTTCTCGATTTTAAGTGGTTATACATTGCTTTACGTCGGAAAAGAGCACAACGCTGTTTTACAAAAAAAAAAAAAAAAAGCGAGCAAAGGTATGTGCAAGCAATTTAAATTATAATTTTTATACTATTAGCCCATTGGTCAATCTAGCTAAGTATTGTTTACACTGACCAGCAGTCCAGGGCTTCAGTTAAGGGGTTTTCCCAGCCCTATCCAGACAGAACTGGGGACGTTCTGCATGCAAAGCAGATGTTCTACTGCTGAGCTGCAGCCCTTCCCCAAAGACCTTGTGTATATGCCAAGAGAGAAAAACTTAACCAGTTTCCACACACACCAATTTCCCAATGTTCCCAAGTGCACAGCAGAGCTCGGACTTGGGGAGGAAAGGCTGCAGAACAACACAAAAGGAAGACATGCAAGCGTGCAAAGTCCTCGTCCCAAGATTGTGCTGCATACTTCCAAATACACTCCCAGCAGCATGCGATTGTTCCTTCTTCCTCCAGCGTGCAACTGTTTTTAAAAAAAAGCTGTTAGCAGGGCTCAGTTCACAGACACAGCAGATAGCATCTGACCCGAGCTTTCTTGCCTTCAGATCATACGCCTGTGCCGTATGCAGAGTCCCTGCAGTAGTGAGGTTGATAACCCGGTGTGATAACAAGCACAAACTGCTTGCATCATGGAAAAAAAAGGGACTCCGGTAAGCGTTTCTGAAGAGCCCTGAACCTGTGACAAACCTGCATAAAGGTTGTTCCATCGAAGCAGTGGAGGTGCAGGGAGGGAGGGAAGAAAGGAATGCACAGAAGCTGCCAGGCTTTGAGCTCAGGGCTTCTCAATTAATTGTCAAAAGTTAATTCTCGGTCATGTGGAGCTGACAGTGCCACAGTGCTGCTGGCAGCAGGTATAACTAAGGAGGAGGCTCCGCCTGGGATTTCTATGGACTGCCCTGCCTAAGTGCCTATTAAAGAGGCAGTTGCTCAGGAAGCAAAAATGCAGAGTACTGACTGGCAGCGCTCATGGGGGAAATGCAAGCCCCTTCATTGCTTTCGCCTCCTTTCTTCCCCAGCCCTCTGCCCAGTCCAAAGTCTGGAATCAGCCTCTCATATCCTTTCTTGCCTGGTATGGGGCCACCTCCTTCTCCTTCCCCTTCAGAGTGACCTTAACCTTAAAATACAGCTATCTATAAACTGGAGAATTAAACAATTCAGCGCCTGGGAAACTTGCAGGCATGCAGCCAGACACGTAACCACATTGCTGATTATTCACACCTTTCCTAGAATGAGGCAGCAAGGAACATGTTGGGGTAAAAATAATTTTTCTGCTCAGTATGCATCTGCGTACAGTGGACCCTCCAGATATGAACTTAATTCGTTCCGGGGGTCTGTACGAACCCCGAAAAGTCTGCATCTAGAGGCGCCGCTTCTGTGTGTGTATATGTATGTGTGTGTGTGTGTGTGTGTGTGTGTGTGTATATGTATATATGTGTATATATGTATATATGTATGTATACACACACACACACCAGTGCCAAGCAGCTATGAGCACAGGGACAGTGCATCTCAAGATCCCTTCCATCCATGCTGCAAAAACACAAAAGCCAGCAGGTGTTTTGTTTTTTTACAGAGTATGCAAAGTGGTAGCAATTGAGTGTGTTGATTTATACACTGTTCTTACATGAGCAACCTCTTCACCCCCGATCACATCAAAATTCATCAAAATCTGGAGGGCTGCACTTAATTACACAGAACAAAATGTGCAACTGAACGTGTGATCTGCATATCACTCAAAGAAATACGCCAGGTGCCCAAATATAATCAATAGGCATCGTGCTCTCCTTTTTTTATTCTGACATTTTCACCTTTAAATGGAAGGGGGTGAAGAGAGGGATGGCCTAGCCTCTAAGAATCTTAGAATCTCAATAGACAGCACAAGAAGCAGAAATGTAAACCAGCTAGGAGCTTCCAAAGAAAGTGGCCTGACAGTTTCTGTTGCCTGCAATGACTTACATTATAATGAGGAATAAGAAATGGAAACTGTGTGAATATAAAGAATTTTGAGAATTAGTGCTACTAAATTCTAAGATATCAACCCCAGATGGCAGAATCAGGCTGCTTTGTGGAGAAAGTTATGCACAACTGGAAGGAGAGAGCATGTGTTGTAGACTCCCTCATTTGTGGCTACACATACAGTTGCGGTAGGGACACGGGTGGCACTGTGGGTAAAACCTCAGTGCCTAGGACTTGCCGATCGTATGGTCGGCGGTTCGAATCCCCGCGGCGGGGTGACCTCCTGTCTTTTGGTCCCAGCTCCTGCCCACCTAGCAGTTCGAAAGCACCCCTAAGTGCAAGTAGATAAATAGGTACCGCTTTATAACGGGAAGGTAAACGGCATTTCCGTGTGCTGCGCTGGTGCTGGCTCGCCAGAGCAGCTTCGTCACGCTGGCCACGTGACCCAGAAGTGTCTCCAGACAGCGCTGGCCCCCGGCCTCTTAAGTGAGATGGGCGCACAACCCTAGAGTTGGACACGACTGGCCCGTATGGGCAGGGGTACCTTTACCTTTATACAGTTGTGGTGCTTTATAGATAGTGCATTATGATAAATTTCATTATTAATATAGCAGAGTGAATCTGCAGGTAAGCTTTAAATGCAGTTGCCTGAATCTAGCTCAGTGACTGTTCCACATCTGCCCACCACTTATATTCATCTGTGACAATCATGACAATGCAGAGTGATAAAACACACTGTCACAAGGTATTTCCTATAGAAGCTGCCACTTTAACTGGCTGCTTCTTGAGCATCTGCACACGAGAGGCACGTCCCACAGTCTTTAAACAGCATTTGAAATGTAATTAGGATAAACCTACAAAACCAGGAGCCTGCTTGACAGCAATGCCAACTTGGCTGGACAGTTTCAGTACATAGCATTCTGTAGAACTGAAAACAGGCCTAAAGCTAAAGGATGAAGGAACCCAAACAATTGCTTTGTGATAGAATAGCATCAACAATGAACCACAGCTTGAGCCTCTGCTGCCATTGATATACCTGCAGCTCAACATAAAGGGCTATGCAATTTAAGGAGCAATCACAGCAGCCAGAGGTTTCCCTTATATACATACTACAGGGAGGAAGCATTGCCCCTGAAAGCAAATGTGGTTTTTTGGATTCTCTCTGCACTCTCTCCACGTATTTCAAAGGTATGTAAATTCTAAATTCTACCTCCACTGGCAGGGGTAATACGTCTCCGAATACCAGTTGGTGGGAATCACAGGTGGGAAAGTGGGTCCTGTTTGCTGATTTCCCACAGGCATCTGGTTGGGAGTAGGAAGCCAGACAAGATGGGCCATGGTCCTGATCCAGCAGGCTCTTCTTATGTCTGCATGTTCTTAGGAGGTCTGATCTGGCCCTGTGTGTGGAGCTGCCCCTGTCTCCGTCACCCACACAGGGACAACCCAGGGCCTGCACACATACAATCCTATGCAGCATTGGCCTAAATAGGTCCATTGATCCTCCACAGAAAATTAAGAGATCAACCCCACGACTTTGGCCTACCCACACAGAGTATACAGGCTCCACAGGTGGCCAATCCCCTTGTGGATAGCAGAAATTAAACCTGGCGCGCTTACTTCCGAGTATGCATGTATAGGACTGCGCTACAACTTACTGTACTCCTAAATCACGTAGACCGACAGCTAAGTGGTAGTTGGCCAGGAACAGTAAAATACAAGTGGCTCTCCCCAGAATAAATCATTTTAATCAATGAAGACCAGTGTATGCCTAAGCCCATATAAAACCCCAGGGGAACAAAGTGATCTTTCATCCCCAAACCAGTACATGTTCTGTGAATATTAAGGAATAGAGGCTAAGCATGAGTACGCAATAATTGGGAAGAGAAACTCAGAATTCCGGTCCTACTCCTTCCTCTAGAACTCAACAATTCTCCTCCCATTTAGTTAAAACAAACCCAGAGAGTAACAAATGTTCAACTGTCCCACCCGGAAAAGAAATCCAGCGACAATATAAAATGGGTCCGTTGTTACAAACTTGCTCTCCTATAAGCCTCTGGCAATGCTCCTCTGGTTTACCCAGCCAAAAGAAATTGTTGCAATTGTAACCTACTGTGGCAAGATGAGAGGCTGCCCCCTCGTGCCCTGCACTAAGAACAGCAGCCCAGTGCCACTCCCTGAGTGTCCCAAAGCAGGCAGGTGACATTGCCGTTGAAAAGTGGTACATTGCAAAGCTGGAAAACAGCAACTTGGTGATCTCACTGTGGGTGGAGACTGCACAGCCTAAAGGTCCAAAGTTTGCATCATGTATTGTTATACTGAGGTCCTCACAACTAGGAAGTAAGTCTTGCAGAGGTGATTCAGTCACCTATCAAAATAAGCTCTGCTCTCTTTACTCACTAAATCCTCCACTGGCTCCACCTCTTCACCCAATGCTATTCCTGCCTCCAGCATCTCTCAACCTTCTCTTTTATGATGCACATGCATGCAAGATATAAGACTTTTGCAAGGAGCAGGGAGCTGGCTGCTCCCTCTCTCTCAAGAGGCTTGTTGTGAAAAATCTGCACTCACTTCCAGAACAAGACCTAATTGCCCAACACTTGCTGAAGTCTAATGACCAGGAAAGTCAACATGGTGTCCATCAGATGTTGTTGGACTGCAACTCCCATCACCCCTCAACATTGGCCAAGCTGACCACAGCTGACGAGAGCTCTAGTCCAAAAACATCTGGAGGGCAGCACATTGGGTCCCCCTGGTTCAGAAAGCAAATGCATTCAGACCCCCCCCCCCACTACTACCCTCCAAATCGGTATAGTCACAACATCCTGGCCCCAGAAGTAGCTGAATTGCCTGTTCCAACATCTATAATGCCAGACGCACCAAGGAGCTTCAATTCACCCTTTGCCCACATTCCCAGCTATACTGGACTCTGATCCCCAGCAATGTATTGACTGGAAAAGTTCAGCCCCAATGCCCTGCCTTGTTCAGCTCAACTGATCTAAAAATTAAAACACGCCCATACGCTACCACATGTGTTTTCCCTCCTCCCAATACATTGATAGTGCCATCGTGTGCATGTTTCCTCCAAAATAAACCCCACTATGTTCAGTGACGTTTGTCCCAAGGTAAGTATGCCAAGGATGGCAGCATTTGAAAAGATGGCCACCTTCTGATAAGTTTCACTGCTGCTAAGGACAGAGAGGGAATTGACTGGAAAATTATCCCCTCTTAATTCCCTAACTCAGGTTTGGCAGCGGCATGATCTTTGGAAGACTCAGACACTGGTTACTAGTTTGGTTTCTTGCTTCTGTGTCTGAACAATACAACTGGGTCAAAGGCTTGCCAATGGGAAAGATGCATAGGTGCCCAGTGATAACAAAAAAATGCCAAACCTTCCACAGAAACCATGGCCAATTCCTCCGTACTTCTTCAAAGGGTTGCTGAGAATGGGGGGGGGGGCATTAATTTTATTTTTAATTCATTCAAATTAAAGTGCAAGCACCCTGGAAACTAAAAAATAAGCTTCAGACAATATGTTTTATAGGGTTTGGTAAAACTCAGGGTTTCACACTGTCTGTGCTCCAAAACAAAACAATACTTTTCTTAGTTGGGGCAATTTTAATTGGGGGGGGGGACAAGCTGGGATATATTGAAGCTAAGGCAAGGTTAAATCTGGTCGTTAACTGTTCAAACTGTATTTCCCATTCCTTCCTTTTAATATGTGTGTTTGATCCCCCACAGTTTATACCCATTTTCCAGAAGGTGGCAGAATTAATGAGGCTCCCCCCTCAGCAGCCCAGCAAATGGATCCAATCCGCCTCCACAACCTGCCATCCTTCTCCCATAATGTATCTGCACCCACCATGCCAATTAGGGGAGCAGAAGGAAGACAAGCCACTTACCCTCACTCTGTTGCTTTTCCCCATCTCCCTGGGCAGGAGCAGCCTGCGAGAACTGTGAAAACAAGAGAAAATTCATCAAAACACAAAAACACTGTTAACCTGTCTCCAGAAAAAAATTCTTCTAAACAAGAGAACCAAGTTGCTTCCCAGGACTCTGCAGCAAGGCAAAAGCAAGACACCATTTTAAACGGTCATGGCTCCCCCTGCAAAGAATCCTGGGAAGTGTAGTTTTTTATGGGTGCTGAGCATTGTGAGGAAAGCCCTATTCCTCTCACAGAGCTACAGGTCCCAGTGATCTTTAGGAAGTTGTTAAACTACTCTGGGAATGGTAGCTTTGTAAGGGGAACAGGGGTCTTCTAAAAACCCTCAGCGCCCCTGACAAACTACATTTCCCAGGATTCTTGAAGGGAGGCCATAATGCTACAGTTATGATAAAGTGCAGATGAGGCCTGCCATAATTTGTGGCATTATTACAAAAATGTTGATGGCAAACAGTTGCAAGTCCGCAATTCTTCTCTTCACTGGGAAATGAGACATCCTCAAAGGAAAGTGTCTGAATTATCAGCTGAAACACTTCTGGGGTATGGCAGGGCTGCGTGGAATTATTTCTTTCTTTTCAGTTGTGAGGCATATTTCTCCAGTTTCCACACTGAAACACCCACAGAGACCCTTCTCTTTCCCTCAGACAAGAAGGAAAGGGGGCTTCAAATGCCACCCATCAGGGCAAGGGAAGGGCAGAGGGGAAGGAAGGCCCAAGAGAGCCAAGTTCCACAGGCCTCGTCCGTGAAAGGAGAAAGCTCTTCTCCCTGTCACTTTAACAGGCAACAGAAGTGCAACTAGCTGCTCTCAAAGGCATTTCAGATTATTAAGGTCGAAACACAAGAGAGCAAAGCTGAACTGGGGAGCGGGGTGGCTGAGGAGAAAACAACATTGGTGACCTTCTAGTGCTGACATGACAAATATGCCACGAGATTTGTACACGTCCCTGTTCCATGGAAAGTCAGTAGAAGGTATTTCGAAAAGGGGCCTGCCTGCTACAAAGCACTCCAGGAGCAGAGAGCAAAAGGGAGCTGGCAGAGCCGTTAAAGGGTCCACAATCAAAAAAATTTCCCCTTCCTAGTTTGTAACAGGATGGGCATGGCGTGATGCGAGGCAAATTCGGAGCAGAAGTGTCCCTCAGGTTGGAGACTCTACCTGTGCTGCATCTACCTGTGGCTCCTAGCTAGTCTCAGGGCCAGCGTGTGGTGTGGTGCTTAGCGTTGGACCAGGACCTGGGAGACTAGGGCTATAACCACTATAAAGCTCACTGGGTGACCCTGGGCCAGTCACTTTCTCTCAGCCTAACCTACTTCACAAGTCTGTTGTGAATATAGAATGGAAGGAGAACATTCATGCTGCCTAGAGCTGCCTGGAACAAAAGAGGAATAAAAATATAATAAAAAGTATTAAATACAGTATCACAAAATGTTGATTTGTTTCCCCACAAGTCTTTGAAATTAGATGTCCCATTAAAATCGGATAAGTGTTAGTCCTCACCATCCCTGCAAGTACTTCCATCTTTTTTTCTCAGTCACTCCATCGCAAACAAGCACCTATCTCACATCTAACCTGCCCAAGATACGCTCTATAGTTCTTGTTATCAGAGAACTGTTTAAATGGCATTCTTCAAAACCAGCTCCTTTCTCAAGTGCTCAAATACTAAAACCCTTAGGAAGTCACTGTTAACAGTCCTGGTTTTCCAGCTAAGCCATTCTCTTCACTGGTGTCTATGTGTTTTGGGGTGAACGTGCGGCGTATATATACAAGCGACACACAATTTGCAGGTTGCACGTTTAGTCAACAAATTAATTTCTATACCTGCATGAATAGAAATTTAGCCAGAACAGTGAAGAAGGATAGCACAGGTAGACAGCAGGTGGCCATATCTATATGCAAGCAGTTTGCACATTTATTTTAGAGAGAGTAATGGGGGTTTAAAATTGAGGAAGGGGGAAGTATCCACATAAATTTTCCCCTACGGTTTGCTAATGATATGCCTCCAAGTCTATCGGTTTCTGTCCCAAAACTTCAAGGAATTTGAGTGATGCTTAGTTTCAAATCTCTGAGTTACTCAGCCAAGGTCAATAATCCAGTTTCAGGGAGGAGAGAAGACCATCAGGCCATTCCATTACTGTCAACAGTCCTGATCTGCAGATAATGGATAAGAACCCACAAAGGTGGCTGCAGGAGAAGCGAGAGGAAAGTAGCAGAAGATGCCTGGCCTGTGCTCTTGAACAGCTCGGCTGCTGAACTCACATCTACATCCATGAAATCTAAGCAGCCTAAACTGTGTGCTGGCCAAGTGGACAGAACCACCTGTTCTTAAACAGAAAGAAAACTCACAACTGGCTGGCTTTCTTAGCAAAGAGAGCTTGGTAGTCAACAGGCTACAATGTTAAGAACAGAGGAAGATTTCTATTCAAAAACAGGGAGCGGTTTCTATCTCAGTGTGAAGGTGACGACAACAGGTATAACCATGATTTGGGAGGAAGAGGCCACACCTGAACCCCAGTAACCAACCAATACCAGCAGGCAGCTGGAATATACTCAAGGAAAAGTTGCGTCCGAGGCCTCAGATGCACAGCCTGCAAGTGAGATGGCAAGCTGCCACAGCTGTCAGGCAGGTGTCCACCCACCTCGCCGGCACCGCGTATCGCACGTAGCCCTTATGAGCAAGCATCAAGTGGCAAGCTGTCCTGGGACTCCTCCAGTTTATGATGGAATACCACACCTGCAGCAAACGTGATCGCATGCACCTGTTCCCACATGAGTAGGCAAGAACACAATGCAGGCCAAACACATTCAGGGCCCTAGTGAAAGAGCAAAATGTCTCAGCTTGCCATCCTTTATTTCCTCTTATTCTTCTTTGGGAGATTCTGAATCAGCTACAAGCTGCTCATTACTTTTTAGCTAAAGTTGCCTTTGAGGTACTTTGTGTTGTTTTTTCAAAGTCCTGCTAATTTCGCTTGAAATAGCGCTCTCTCTATCTTCAGTGTTCAAAATGAAACAAAAATACATTTAGGAAACGGACTGCCAACTAAGCCACTGATGTGGAACCTGTGGCCTGCCATGTGTTGTCGGACTCCAAATCCCATCAGCCCCAACCAGCAAGCTAATAGACAAAGATGATGGGAGCCATAATCCAGCAACATGTGGAGAGATACAGGCTCCCCACGCCTGGGCTACACTATTGCTTACAACACTCTGCTCTGCTAAAACCTCTAGTTTCGGAGCTGGCTGAAAGGCCACTAGAAATCATTCCAGACAGTAAATGGAGATTTACTCTGGGTTGTTGTTTTTTTTAAGTATGTGTTAAGACGAGACTGAATACTGCTGATTAACAGAGATCAGATGTATTACATCGAGGTATTCTCCTGAAAGGGATTGCCATCTATCTCCATTGCTCCTGTAACGACACAGTTGTTAGCCATCACGTACAATATTTTCACAGCATTGCTCATGCCGTTTGCCTTGGGATCGAGACAGCCTCTTGGAGCTATTTATACAGCAGTGTCACCTTGAGTCTATATCAGAAACATGAAGGTGCTTTGCTTGCCTACAGTGCTGAATTATGTTCTCTGCTGTTGCGACTGGGCAATCCTCAGCTAACCAAAGCAGCAGTGCTTAGGCGGAGGGCAATTTGTCCCTATTTACACCGAACTTTTCTCCATCGCAGGGAAGACACTAAAGGGGGGCGGGATCCTTCCGAGGGACAAAAGGGCCTAGTGCCCTTCTGAAGGTCAGGCTGCTTCCACCCATCTCCTTTGCTGGCTTGGGGTTTTACTCATTGTTTCTATACGATGGCTATCTTTCCATCTCACTTCAGAGTTTCCCATAAGACAGATTCTGCCTTAGAGCAAAGATAGAGCAAACTGGGTACTAGGGAAAATGCAGGTCACCAAGAAAGACTCTCTTCTTGAAACCACTACCTCCTGCTTTTACAACAAGGTGCCCGGTTCCAGTTTGAACCAAGGAAAAGCTTAATCCAATAAATTACACACACACACACACTTTACTCCTTCACACCACAACTACCCCTTTCCCTCCTCCCCCACCCCTCCCCCTAATCTCTGCAGCCTCATTAAAAGAGCTTTGTAACTGTTTAGGACTGGAACAAACAATCCAGCTACTTTGGAAGGCCCCCTGGGACAGGAGTTAAAACCCTTTCCATCTCAGGCGCTAAAAAAGTCTTCTCAGAGGTTTCTACTTAAGGAGGAGCTTTGGTCTGCAAAATCTCTCTCCTTCCACCCCCACCCCCCATTATGAATACAAGGGGAGAGAGGCCAGTAATCCAGGCAAGCAGCAAGAGAGGGATCTCTGAAATGGCACATTCAGAGGAGAAAGAGAGGCTTGAACTGTTCAGAAATGACAGGAATATTATCAGAGGAGAACTAGAAGGGGAGGGGGGGAGCTGCCTTTTGCTGAGAATACTTGTTGATCCTGGTGGGAGGTGACCCACTCTGTTCCTTTTGAGCTTAACACAAGGAGTTGGGAGGAAAGCCCTGTCCCCAGTGTGGCCTGATCAACAGCAAGCGGCTAGTGGCTGCAAGATCATTAGCAGTCTAGTCACACGCTCTTGTCCCCTCCCCCCTCTCCTCCTCCTCCCTCTGCGTTTGATCTTTGCCTGATCCCACTGGAAACACATCCTGGGAAGGAGCTCCAAGGCATGTTCACTACCCCTAACTTAACATCAAATCGCACTAAGTAAGGTGATGGCGGAAAGGGAACTGCAAGATGTCAGTTAAGTAAAAACCAGGACAGAATAGAACTGTCCAAGGTCTTGGACGGAGCCTAGATCCAAATGGTCTTTGAACTAGGGCAAGAAAATCAACAGGAACATGAAGTACCCAAAGTCGTAACTTGACAAGTTTGGAGCAAGTCATCTAACCCTCTTCCCACCATATCTTGACCAGCAATTTCAGAACTGGCTAATCGCTGGGGTAGACAAGGAGCTGGGGAATGGCCACTGACTGCACCAATATAGCCACAGGAGGTACATATAGACATATATTGGAAACCAACACCTGTGGTACCTCTGCCAGGTCACTGACTTGCAGGTTTCCTGGACTCACTTCACAGCCTCCATCTGTGGTTAGTAAATGTATCTTTCCCTTGACAAAAGGAACCTTATCACAACCCGGCACCTCCCCTTTTGTGCTCACTTAAAAGCAACTGCACAGAACTCCGATTCTTCTCCCTCAACACATTCAGCGGCAGGCAGGTGTGTGTAGTCAGAACTGCAGGAAGTTGATAAATATAAATTTATCAATTTCCCTTTCCCAGCAGAGACACAGCTTGCCAAGAACGTGAGCTTCGGCTAGCACTCCTATTACTCTCCTTTACTATAGTTCCATACAATCTACCCAAGGGACTGTGCAGTCTTCACAACTGAGCATCCAGTCACCACACCTCCCTGGAAGAAAAGGCATCTCTGGTTCCCCCTAACTATCTCAATCTATCTACACTCAACTTTTCATTCACCTCGGAGTAACCCTCCCTCTTTCACTTTACCTGCAGGACCTCATATTTAAACAATGCCATTTTAAGACCGCTTTCCAAAGCGAGGACTGCCGTGATATCACGCTGCCTTGCTGCAAGGCTCCCCAAAGAAATCGGAGCCACGTTTCCCCATCAGGCACAGCCTAATCTGCTGATGTCACTTGAAGACAAGTGGCAGGCTAACAGGTTAGCAGAGAAAGCATGTGATCCCCCCTGGCAACAGGACATCTGAAATGGCTCCTAACTGAGGTCTTACATTTGGTGCTAAATTAAACAAATGCAGATTCATTTTCCTATGACACACTGATTCTCACATGTTGTTGCAGGGGTGGTCTGTGCCCACACTGACCTCCCCTAGAACTTCTCAAGACAAACAGCAGAATAAAACTTATTCTGTACTAATTATGACATGAATCTCTACGCAACAGCACACATGAGCCACCTCAGCTGGAAAATCTGTCTAAACTCCGATACCCAACTCTAGACTCTCTCTTTTTTAAACAAGGAGAGTTCAAACAAAAGTAAGATGAAAGAGCAGGATAAAAGCCCTTTACGGTATATATTAGGAGGAATGCGGTGGACTTCTACAACCAGAAGTACCAATAAACTGATATAGGAAAAGAGTTATGAGGGCAGGAGAACAAACTTCCTACTTATGGTAGCTCAGCAGAGCCGTTTATTTTGAAAATCAATCTGGAAGAAATACAAGGATCCATTTTGTGGTCTTTGATCTCTATTTGCTTTTCCAAGCCAGGAATTTTGAACTCCGGTCAGCAAACCTGCCTCTACCTAAAGCAAACAGGCCGAAACAGCCACCCCCCCCGCCCCATTTTGCAATGTCAGGAAGGAGAGAGCGTGTGTGTGCGTGTGTGTGTGCTGATGCAAGAAGTCAGCGCGCTCCGCTGCCTCCCCGCTCGGCGATCGATGACGACGCAGAGCCTGTGTCGTCTTCACGCCTGGTTTTCCAACTCCTGCTCAACTCCGCACAGACAGAAGGGAGGGCAGCCCAGCAGGAACCGTCTGGGCAACGTGCGAGGAAGAGGAGGTCCGACCTGTCCTCCTGGGGGATCCGATCCCGCGCCTCCCTTCTTGCCACAGGCCCCGCGCGCCCCGTTCGCGCGAACGCCAGCAGGAAAAACCTCCACGCCTCGACCCTGCCTCGCTCCCGGCCTTTTGTTGGCAGCCGCAAGCGGCGCAGACACCGCATGTCCGCGCCAGGGCAAGCCGAAGGCGGCTTGGCGCCGAGGAGCACCGAGGCACCTGGATCTGCCCTCCATTTGCGCCAAGGCAGCTTCCGACACGCGCGCGCGGATTTCTTTCTGGTCCGGCTGACGATCCCCTGAACCCCCGCGACGCGCCCCGGCCGCCAAGCGAGCGTGCAGCGAGCAAGGCCACGCGGGGGCAGGAGGAAGGCTTCCCCGCCGCCCCGGATCCGCCCGCCCGCCCCCTGCTTTACCTTGGCGTTCTGGAAATAGAGCAGCGCGGCCAACCCCCAGTGCATCCAAGCGAGCAGAAAGTTCATGATTCCTGGCGCGAGGCAAAGAGGAGCCGGAGTAGCTGGTCGGAGCCGCGCTGGCTCGCTCTCTTGAACTCCTCTTCTTCCTTTTCCTGGGGCCGCTCCGATCAAGGAAAGCGCAGGGGTGGGTTGTGGGGGGGAGGGGGGAGACTTCAGTCTCTGGTTTCACCCGTCCATAAGCCCGGCTCCCTAGGCGCCCGAGACGCAGATTCCCCTCCGCACACCTCTCGGCTCTCTTTTCGGCTTGCAGGAAGGCTCTCGGGGCTTCCTCGCTTCGGATTCGGAGCCTCTCCGCAGGAATCCCACCAGATTCGTCAGAAGGTTCTGAATTGTAACAGATTTCCAGCCGCCCACTCTCTCTCTCTCTCTCTCTCTCCAACCCTCGGTGGCAAGACACCACACGCGAGCGAGCGTGCACTGCACAGGCAGACACACACACACCAAAAAAAGAGGGGGAAGCGAAGAAAGTTTGCGCGAAGTTTCAATGCATTTTCTCTCCCCCAGGTCTTTCTCAAGCGCACGCGTGGGCTCGGATCCTGCAGCCGCTGTCGCTGCTTCCAAGCAGAAGTTGTTGGGTGGTGGAGGGGGGTTCTCTCTCTCGTCTTAGCACCACCTTCGGGGCCCGGGATCGCTCAGCCCAGTTCGATTCGGGACTCTCCTCTGCTAGGCGTGAAGAAGAGGAGCAGAAAATGTCCCCCCTCTTTCTTTCCACTTAACCAAAAATTAAAAAATCCAAGTTGCTTAGCGAGGAAAGCGAAACCTCTCAGCCGATCGTGGTGGTGGAATAAATTAATGGGGGGGGAAAAGAATAGCAGATCCTAAATGCGTAGGATATAGGGAAGATCGGTCCTCCTCGCCTGAATCTTTTCTTTCCCGTCCTTCCGTCTTTCTTGCCTTCCTTCCTCCTTTATTTCTTCCCTTTCCTTTCCCGAGGGAGCCTGCACTTTTCGCTCTCTGTGCGTCCGTGGCTCCCTTTCTCTCTTGATTGAATGTCAGGCAGCAGCAGCAGCGACGCTCTGACTGGCTGGCGCGCTCGGTGAGCATTGCCTCTCGCGACTCTGCTCGGAAAGAGACTCTTTTTCAGGCTCCGTAGTCCCTCCCTCGCCCTCCTCCTCCGCGCTCCTCCCTCCTCCCCCCCCACTCCCTCCCTACTTATGACACTCCGTACTTGTCACCTGGAATTAAAAAAGACCCTCCTCTTTACCACCGCCCGCCTCCCTCCACTGCACACGCAGATTCGTCAGCGCATTGAAGGTTGAGCCGGGAATCCGGGATCGAGGCGCATGGAAAGGCTTCCGCGCGAGTCTATTTCACTCAACGAGTGGAAAGAGCGCAGATGTCCCATTCATTTACGCGAGGGTTTCTGACCGAAATGTGCCAGTGCGGTTATGACCATCATGATAAAAATGCTAAAAAAACCAACAAACCCCACATTAAGAAATGAAGTACCAACTCCATATAGTGACCGTGGCGCCTGTTCACGGGTCGGTTGTTTCAAAAAAGACCCCAAGCTATTGGCGTGGGACAAGGAGAAGTCGCGGGTGGAGTTCCTTCCTTGTCCCCGTGTTCCCCGAGGAAGAGATCTCGCTCAGTTGTAAAGCATAGAAAAGGTTCGATCCTATCCATCTCCTGGGACAAAAAAAGGAAGGGGGGTGGTTATCTGTTGTGAGCCGCCCTGTGATCTTCGGATGAAAGGCGGTATACAAATTCAATAAATAAGAATGATAATATCTGAAACGCTAGAGAGCCGCTGCCAGTCAGTGCTGACAGTGTGGAACTAAACAGAGCAGCGATCCCGCTCCGTTTTTCTTGAACTAAGGCTTGCGAGTTTTTAAAGTTCTAGGCAGCTTTTGTAAGCCTCCCTTCTCCCACCCGCTTTTGCCTGCAAAAGAGGCAAGCATGCCACTCCTGAGCGCGCATGTGGACATACTTGGTGCTTTCCAGGGAATTGGCCTTATTGTCTGCTCCATAGGTGAGCGTAGGCCAAAAGCTGCGCGCACCATTCTCTCTCCAAGTTCATCAAGCCCCCTCTTGGCTTAGGAAAGCCATTCCCAGTGTATTCCCCCCTTGGGAAGCCCAGTTTCACCCACACACCCTCTTTCTGCCCAACGACTTCTGAATCAGAATCTCTCCCTGAACTCTGCAATGGTTTCCACACTTCAGAAGTTCAGCCCGGGCAAAATGCAAGCTCTTCGCCGCAGCTGAAGGAAGCAAAGCGCAGTGGGGTGGGGAGGGGGAGAGGAAATATCATTAGAAAGCAGTCGGCACTAAACCTAGGGACCTTGAATGAAATGGGCAGAGCTGTGACTGTAGCGCTACCTGGTGGCAGAAATTTGAAGAAACTTGAGCAAATGTGGCTAACTCCTCACCAGAAAGTGTGGGGAAAGGAGTTACTTGAATATTTGCAGCATTAAAGCTTTGCACACTGGCAGCATATTTTTTAGTCAACGAGGTTAATCGGAGGCATGGTTATTGCGGATTGAAAATGACATGATTTTTTATGTTGTTGTTTTTTGCCAGATTAAATATGACACTTTTCCTGGGGAAAAATCCATTTAGGGAAAAGCATGAAACAGACTTGCGCTTTCTGATCACACGTGATGTTCACACCTGTATATAATATTTCACTAAGAACATAAGAAGAGTGTGCTGGATTAGGCCATTGGGCCATCTAGTCCAGCATCCTGTTCTCACAGTGGCCAACCAGATGCCTGCGAGCTGGACGTGAATGCCATACTGCCTCTGACTATGCAGGCAGAGCATAGCCATCATAGCTAAAAGCCACTGGTAGCCCTGTCCTCCTCCATGAATTTGTCTGATCCTCTTTTAAGTCCATCCAGGTAGGTGGCAATCTCTACATCCTGTGGCAGTGAGCTCCATAGTTTAACTATGCACTGAGTGAATAAGTACTTTCTTTCACCTGTCCTGAATCTTCCAGTAAAGGTAAAGGGACCCCTGACCATTAGGTCCAGCTTGTGACCGACTCTGGGGTTGCAGCACTCATCGTGCTTTATTGGCTGAGGGAGCCGGCGTACTGCTTCCGGGTCATGTGACCAGCATGACTAAGCCGCTTCTGGTGAACCAGAGCAGCACACGGAAACGCTGTTTACCTTCCCGCCGGAGCGGTACCTATTTATCTACTTGCACTTTGATGTGCTTTCAAACTGCTAGGTTGGCAGGAGCAGGGACCGAGCAACGGGAGCTCACCCCATTGCGGGGATTCGAACCACCGACCTTCTGATCAGCAAGTCCCAGGCTCTGTGGTTTAACCCACAGCGCCACCTGTGTCTCATCAGAATCTTCCAGTATTCAGCTTCATTGGATGTTCTCGAGTTCTAGTTTTATGAGAGGGAGAAAAACTTTCCTCTTTCGGCTTTCTCCATGCCATGTCTATCAGGTCACCTCTTGCTCACCTTTTCTCTAAAGTCTCAAATGCCGCCAACTTTTCCTCATTGGGGAGTTACTCCATCCTCCTTATCAGGTGTACAGGTACTGGGCAGTTTCATGCAGTTGTATACATGCTGAGCAGCAGGTTATACACATCAGGATCATCTTATATGATAATGTACATGGAGGTCTTCTATTTTTCCTCACACATTTTCAACCTTCGACTCTATGCACAGATACCTGAGAACAAAGGCAAAGCAAATTTCCCCAGTCAGGCTTTAGAATAAGGAAACCAAAGCGTTTTCTGTGAATTTTTGAATGTGGCTTATTTGTGTGGCTTATTCAAAGCCAGATTCCTAGCCAAATGGGAACCCATTGTGCCCACAATGATGGACGAGGGCTCAATCCTCCCTTCATCTACCTCCATTGAGCTTCTAAACTGCTTCCCTCACTTGCCCCTATACCTACCTGCCTGCCTCCTGGCTTGCTGCTTTGGCACTTACCTGCTGAGTACCAAACTAGTTGTGAAGTTAACTGTATGGACACAATTAATGCACACATGTTTTGTGAAAGCCTCGTGTAAGTGGTGTGGAGAACTACAGTATTTCTCTCCCTGACTACGAAAACCTCCTCTCTGAAGCTGCTGGTCACAGGATTATAGGCAACAGAGACAACCTCTTGGTCCATCTTGTTCAGTATTGTCCAACTCCCAAGACACTGTGATCTACTCCCACTATTAAAAGAAACTGTCAGTGATCTACCCAAAGTTTTTGAGCTTTTTCTGGAGAGGCTTCAGCTAAGTTGTTGACCAGGGATGCCCCACGATCGACTGGTAGATCACGATCGACCAGTTGGACATGCCTGGTCTATAGTAATAGTGGTTCTCCATGATTTCAGACAGAGAATATCTCCCAGACCTACCTGGAGATGCCAGGAATTGAACCTGGATGCAAATCAGATGCTCTACCACTGAGCTATGACTCTCCTTGGCACCAAAGGAGGCTTCCCTTGAAATGCAAATGACAGTTTTGGAGAAGTTTTTGATCAGGACCATGGCAGGGAGAGAAGAGTTGTGACATGCGCAGATGCGGGTTGCGTTCGCTTCAGGATGCGAACAGGGCTCTGGGACAGATCCTGTTTGCATCCAGAGGTACCACTGTATACTATTATGGTCAGGGAATTAAAAATATCTCTGTGTGTCATCATATACAGAGGAAAAAGCCAAAAGTGAACAAAGCCAGTGATTTGGAAAAATCTGTCCTGGTATGCTAGGATAGGAGAAGTGTTCAGAATTACCATGTCAGATAAGTTAGTTTGGTATTAATCAGAGATGCTACGTAAGGATTATCCAGGATCTCAGTAACAGTTGAACAGTTTATCCAAATATTTTCCTTCTAAATTGTCCATAGTGTTCTTTACTTTACAAGTGTGATTAAAATCCTGCCAATGTTTTAACTTGCTTGCAGTGGTCTCTTATATAAATTATAAACTTTCCCCATTCTTTTTTAAAGTTCTTGTCTTCTTGATTTCTGAGCTTCCCAGTTAATTTTGCCATTTCAGCATGGTCTGAAATCTTGATTTGCCATTCTTCCCTGGTCGAGGTTGACTCTTGCTTCCATCTCTGGGCCAGTAGCATCCATGTAGCTGTTGTCGCATACATAAATAATCTTTTCTGATCCTTTGGGATTCCTAGTAAGAACGCGTCTGGTTTTTTAACAAATGTTATTTTGAACATTAAAAAAATTTCATTATATATCATCTCCCAAAAGTTTTTAATTACTTTACATGTCCACCACATATGACAAAAAGGTACCTTCTTTTTCTTTGCATTTCCACAAAACCTTGGAGATTTCAGGACCCAAACTTGAAACCTAGGGGCAATCCGTGGTGATGTCATGGGGCGGCCCCTGGTGATTGTTCCCCAGGAAACTCTGCAATAATTTGCAGCCAGCTCGTGCCAGGCTGAAGCCTGCAAGCTGCACACATAGTTTTCTTAATGTTAAAAAAACTGCAGAGGCATTCTCCCTCACCTGGAGATTCAAGCCCTCCCCCTGCCACCGGGGAGTGGGGAGGGGGGGGGAAGCTGGAGACTTTGGGTCAGCCCTAGAGGTCTGGCAACCCTAAGTCCTGCTGAACAGAAGTGCTTGCTTCTGTAGACATCCATAGACTTGCACTGTAAATGTCTTCTTTGGAGCTGAAAAATCTACAACAAATGCAAAGGAGCTGAAAAATCAGTCTTCTCAAGGCGCTTGGTCATCCAGTTAAACAAAATAAATACTCCCTTGTAATGAGACTCGGGGTAAAAATAAAAGAGGCAAAAATCAGCAAAATGCAATGAGCCAATAAATGGACCTAGAGGTTACTGATCAAATAATTTCAAACAAATTCTTAGCAAACCGCAAGTTGTCTATGAGTAAATCGGCATCTGAATCGTGGGCCAGGTTTCTCAAATAAATTCCTTATGTGAAGGTGAATATAAAAGGGAGAGAAATCAACACAGTGGCACATGGTTCTTTCTTTGGACCATCACATGCTGGGGGGAATTTCAAGGTAAAGTAATCCATCAAAATAGTTTGCTGTCCACTAAAAGGGGATATCCCTGTAAAGCTTCAGTGCAGCCTCTCTTCTAAAATTACCACTATGGCTTTGCTTGGCTGGTTTTATATTTCATCTGGATCTCATGGGCCTGACACTTGCCACAACATCCTGTACCCAAAAAATCAGTCAATGTTAAATGAGTTCGTGCAAGTGCATGAATTCAGTAAAAAAGCCATGAAAAGCCCAATTCTTTTATTTCGTTCCAATTCCAACAAAAACTCTGGTGTTGGAGACAGCTATATGTTTTTCCAGGGATCTTAAAATGCTGGCATTCTGCATTACAAAGTAACAAAATAATGCCGTTTTTAAAAAATATGATGTGCATTATTTCTGCTCTCTCTCTCTTACACACACACCTTTGTTTCTCTGTTAAATTATTATTATATAATGTATAGCATTGTAGTGTGCAGCCCAATCCTATTCATGTTAATTCAAATGTAAGGAGCCTACCTGTGCAATCCTAAGCAAGTTTACTCAGTCTAGAATCCTATGCACACTTCCATGGAAGTTAAGTCCCACTGAACTCCATGAGGCTTACATCTGAGTAGACATGTCTAGGGTTCCTCCACCAGCCTCACTTTGTTCAATGGGGCTTATTCCCAGATTATGTGTATAGATTTAAAGCAGTGAATGGTACACCAAGGAATCCACAGTTCAAATTCCATTGTAGCCCTGAATTCACTTAGGTACCTGTGCTTAAGTAAGGGCTTATCCATACTTCCTCTGGCGATGCTGCTTTCCACCCAAAGAAAACTGTTCTTTAGCACTCAATCAGAGCAAACAGCAAGTTAGGGTTTCTCTAGATTTCTCTTTGCTCCAATTTAAAGCTAAAGATTGAGTCAAGCAGAAAACCACTCAGACCCATGCTTTCCAGACAGGATAAACAGAAGTGTAGATGAGCCCTCACTCTTTTCAAACTCATTCACCAACTGCAATGAAGAGATAACAGCGACCTGCCTTACTGGGCTGCTATGAATATTAACACAATAGGGTAGATGAATAACTTTGAACACTCTGTGGCAGGGGGGATGAACCTTTGGTCTTCCAAATGTTTGCTGGATTCCAGTTCCCAGCATCTCCATCCAGCATGGCCAACAGTCAGGGATGATGTAGTCGAGCAACATCCAAAGGGCCACAAATTATCCACTCCTGCTCTAAAGCATTAAATAAGCACTAGGGAAGAAGAAGAAGAAGAAGAAGAAGAAGAAGAAGAAGAAGAAGAAGAAGAAGAAGAAGTGTAAGAAAGATTTGCTCTTTTTTACATTTAAAGGTAAAGGGGCCCCTGACCATTAGGTCCAGTCGTGACTGACTCTGGGGTTGCGCCGCTCATCTCTCTTCACTGGCCGAGGGAGCCGGCGTACAGCTTCTGGGTCATGTGACCAGCATGACTAAGCCGCTTCTGGCGAACCAGAGCAGCACACGGAAACGCCCTTTACCTTCCCGCCGGAACGGTACCTATTTATCTACTTGCACTTTGACGTGCTTTCGAACTACTAGGTTGGCAGGAGCAGAGACTGAGCAACAGGAGCTCACCCCGTCGCAGGGATTCGAACCACCGACCTTCTGATCAGCAAGTCCTAGGCTCAGTGGTTTAACCCACAGCACCAAAAGGCATCTGTGCAAGAGTACTACCTACTCAGAGATAGTCCAAGCCATGTAAATTGTCCTGCACACTGAAAAGTCTGAGGCACTGCACATTAGTAATAACTTCTGAATCTTATCCCATGAAACTATACAGTCGTACCCTGGAAGTCAAACGGAATCCATTCCAGAAGTCCATTCGACTTCCAAAACTTTCAGAAACCCAAGCCAGTTGGAAGTTACAGAAGCCCCATCAGATGTTTGAGTTCCAAAGAACATTCGCAAACCAGAACACTCACTTCCGGGTTTGTGGCATTTGGGAACCAAAACGTCCAAGTACCAAGGCGTTCAGGATCCAAGGTACGACTGTATTTCCATTCTTTGGAAGCAGTTTGATCTGTGTCCTCCAAAGAAAAGTCCAAACATTTTTAAGGGAGTCCTGGGCAAAATTCAAATGTCAATTTCTATTTGAGAAAATTTGGGCTTTAGAGAAACCAAACTATCAACTTAGTTCCATCTTGTGAAGTTATTTGGATTTGGATAATTCGGGAGAGAAGTGAGGGAAACAAGAAGAAGAATCATGTGATGGTATTGGTGTGATGCCAGTTTTATTTCTTAACTCTCAAACCACACTCTGATTTCGTATAAAATCCCTGGACAGGAAACCCAAAGCCCAGCACCAGAAAAAGCAGACGACTCCTTGGGTTTCTCAGCAGATCAAGGGAAAAGGCCAAAGAGTATTCACTTCCGAGGAAAAGCAGTCCAGAAATCCTCACATCTCAGAAATGCTTCAGGTCACTCATACCAACCAAAACTGCAAAATAAATTTAAAAAATGCAATCACGTACAGTATTATTGCATAGTACTGGGACTCTTGCAGAAAGAAAGATTCGTTTCTGCTGCACTTGCATGAGTAGCTTTAGATATCACAGATACTTTTTTTACACAGCATGACTAACGCTCCCTCTGGTGTGTTCAAGGCAGAAATACACTTTGTATTTGCCCAGTATCATCCTTGGAAGCGTGATTTTCCTTCAGATCCATCCCTGTGTACACTGATGAGCAAGACTTTTTTGTGACTGCACTCACTTGCATGGAGTAGCAGCTCCTCTTTTGTTGCTGTCAATGGCAACCAGTTTGTGCTGACATCCACAGCCCTTTTCTTATTATACAAGTACCAGCACCTCAATTTTTTACCCATCAACAGCATTGCCTATGAGTAAGCCCCATTGAGCACAGTGGAATTTATTTCTGAGCCGGCATGCATAGAAGTGCATTTTGAAAAGTATATTATGCAAGCCTGTTGCTTTTGTCTGTTTTCACACACACCTTTTAGTCTATGCTATCATTTGAATATAGAAATCAAATAGGATTGTTTTCAAATCAAAGGTACAGTTGTAGTTAGTTTTATCAACCCATTTATATGTGTGGAATTTTTTTTATAAAAAAAAAGCCAGTAGCCAATGTGAAGTTCATTCTACTGAACTGAGTCAAACATGAAACAGGAAGTAAAACTGCCAATTGGGGTAAGATTTAAAGAAACTGTACAGCATAGGTATGATCATAGCTGTCAACTTTTCCCTTTTCTTGCGAGGAATCCTATTCGGAATAAGGGAATTTCCCTTAAAAAAAGGAAAACATTGACAGCTATGGGTATGATAAAGGATTCAGAGTAATGAAGGTTCCTTTCTGATGCCAATTATCTTGGGTAGGATTGGCTTAGTTTAAGATCAAACACTTTTTCTTATCTCCCTAGAAATAGAAGGTCACTTAAGGAATATTGGCAAAATTATCAACCGATGAAGAT